TACTCGTAAGTATTGGCACATGGAAACCTTTAGAATAATCTTGACCCCACTCAATGTTATAAATAATTCAGTCTTAGTCCTCAAAACTTATTATAAGCTATATCTCGGGTAAAACCTACCTCCATAGTAATAGCTTGTAATAGTACATATAGATAACTCATAATAAATTAATTTTTCATATTTATAATAAATTATATACTATGTGAGATTCTGAAGAAGAATAGCTATTGTAAAAAAAAGAATTAGATCTTGATATACATGTGAGTGATTTTTTAACAGAGATAATAAGATTGCTTAAAGATTAATAGGAAGAGATATACATAATAATGATACTTGATACTAATTAAGATGGATTTTGAGATTCCAGAAAACTTCTTGAATAAGTTATATAGATGATAAATATCTTTGAATAGATATATCTGGAAAATATAAGTATATTTGTCTTTAATAATATTACTTTTCATATAGTTTTTACTAAAGATATTTTTATAATTTCAAAAATAAATCTTAATTTAGAAGAATTAGTTCTAAAAATATAAGATATAACATGAAGTAGTGACTATTAATTAATAGTTATTAAAAAAGATTACTTTATTTATAATAAGAAGACAAAATCAAATATCAACTTGTGTGATTAGTCTAAAGAAATCCAGTAGATTCTCAGTGAAAGAGAATTGTAACAAGAGAGAATGATACTAAAATATACTTTATGCAAGAAAAAAGAGATAAATTTTAATATTATTAATTATTATACATATTATTTAATGATCAATCAGCCAGATTTTCTTATGCAGTATGGTCAGATTCAACAAGAAATTAAATCTTATAAATATAAGATAATTTTATTATCTTTAGTTATTTTTTCCTGACTAGTCTAATCTTAATAATATTATTTATTCTTAGATTATATTCTATCTCAAGTTTCATCTTGAATTTAACTATATTAAGATATACTAAAGAATAGTCAAGAAGTATATTTAATCTTATTACAAGTACTCATCATCAAAAATCAGAGAAATAATCTTTCAAGTATTTGATTCTATTTTCATAAAGAGAATTTATTCTTTTACTAGACTATCATTTAGATAAATGAATACTTATCATTATGATTTGACTGGAAAAGTAGTGAAATATGTAATCAGAAAGTATAAGAAATATAGATCAATCAACAAAGAGATTATAAATCAGATTAATAAGTTATTAAATTAATAAAGAAAAGCAGATATAATGAAAAGTAAAAAGTATATTTTGTTATATTTGATTAATAAAGATTAAGAATATATATTATAATAATAGATATTTTTATTTTTTGGTATGATTATTTTTATTTTGCTATAAGAGATATTCTTTATTTACTTTATCTATATATAAACTAGTAGATATTAATTAAATAGTATAATAATTTAACTTCTGCTAGTCTTATTATAGAGATTAGCATTGATTTATCATTAGTTATATGATTGATTACATTACTTATATAATGCTAGAATTAGGATTAAAATTTGGCATTTCATATAATAAATTGAATATCTTATACTATTCTGTATTATAGTTATTAATAATATTAATATAAAAGATAATACTTTTCAATATGATAATATTTTTTATATAACTTATAGTACTATATATATAATATTACAAATGATCTTTCAGTTTTAATGTTTAATACTTGTCAATGTAAATAGAGAATTATTAAAGAATTCAAATCTATTTGACAGAAGTTCTATTATAAAAATATAGCAAGAAAAAATTAATACCATCTTTAATTAATTAATTAATAAAGAATAAAAATTTGGTGTTAAATATCTTAATAAAAAATATATTAACTTAGTATTATTTATAGTATTTCCAAATATTATAATTCTTAAATCTGAAGAAGCTTTAAGTAAAAATGAGTATGTTTATTAGATTATTAATATATTTCTTAAAGATTTTAATTATATAAAGAATAGTATATTATATTTAATATATGATAAAATAATTTATCATCACATAAAAGATTATAAGAATAAAGAGCAAATAATATATTATATTAGAATAATAATATATTAATAAGTTAATATATAATATACTAATTATTATCTTTTTTAATTATAAACTTTTTGAACTTATTGTATAACTTAATATTTAATTTTTTGACAAACTTGAATAAGTTATTAATTAACAAATAATATTTTAAGTACTTAAGCTTATTTGAATAATAATTAGAATTGTAATCTATTTATATATTTAGAAAGAGAATATTTTTATTAGTGATATTCTTATAATAAATAATAATTTGCTTAAAGTATGGTATAACTTTTATCAATAAATAGAATACTTGAAATTATATAAGCTTGATATTTGCATAATAAATTTTGATTTGTAAATATATAGCTTGATAGTATTTATTTTTTTATTTTTATAACAGAAAAAAGAAGATATACTATATTTATAACATGATTTTTATCAGATCTTTAAAATAAGTTAGAATTTTTTCAAGCTTTTTAGAAAATATCTTTAATTAATTTAATATGTGAAAAATAAAGATAATTTCTTAACTAATTATAATTTATGATAGTTAATCAGAGAATTATGATAGAGTTATAATAATTAATTAGAAAATTGTGATAAGTTATAATTAGTTATAATTCTCATCACTAGTGAAAAATATTATTTTATATTTAATAAGACTTTAGAAATATTTAGAATAAAGTTTATAAAGAAAAATATAATTAAATAGATAACTAATTCAGAAAATTTAAAGTAAAATATTAAAATAATATAAGCAGAGTATGACTAACTTAACTTATTAATTTCAGAATTTACTAGAAATTAATTAGTAAATAAAAGTTCATGATTTGTTAAGAATCATTAAGAAGCTCTTTGGAAATTAATTACTAAACTTAAAATAAAATTTAGTAATTTATAATCAGAATTATATCTCTTATTTGCAAAAGTTATATAATTTATAGATATTAATTTTTAATAAATATTTATTTGTTATAAATTAGAAATTAAAAGAATAATTACTATTATTAAGTAAGATATTCATTATACTATTTCTCAAGTAAAAGTAGAATGAGATAAATAAAATCTGATATTTATAAAGTTAATAAAGAAGAAGAAGACTGATCATATATCAAAAATAAAAGTAAAAGTAGAAGTAAAGATAGCTTCTCAACTAGTTATGACTTATGATAATCAATTAAAAAATTGTAACAAGTTATAATTAGATGTGACTCTTATCACTAAGCAAGAGATAGCAATTTTGTATAAGTTTTAGAACTAATTAATATAAAAGTTAAAGAAATTAATTCAGAATTAATTAATATAGAAGTTAAAAAAATTAATAAAGAAGATTTGTAATCAATACTATTATCTGAAATTGATCTGTTTTTTGAATTCACATTTCAAATATCACATTTAATAAAATACAAATTCACAGTAATTGAAAAATAATATCTAAAATAACTTGAAGTATATAAAAACTCTATTATATTATTCAGAGAAGTTATTAATAAGCTGATAAAAAAGTTATTATAATATATTGATTATTAAATATCAAAACAAGTTTGAGATTGATGATATAATTGATATAAGAGATTAAAAAAGCTATATATAAATATACTTTGAAATAAATGTAAATTAAATATTATGTTAGAATCTATACAATTCAAAGTAAATTATCATTATAATTTCTATATTATCTTCTTTTTATTTAGTTAAATCTTAAAGTACTAGCTAAGAATGGCAATTAGCATTTGCCTAAATGGATAAGAAATTTTAAATCTTGCATACATTTTGATTCATGTTTGACTGAATAAATATGTTCTAATAATCATAAAAAAATTAAAAGAAATATTATTATCTATACTATATCATGAAATAGCTTTTCTTTCACATGTTTATAATATACTAACCTCTTGAGGTAAAACTTTGTAGATGGTTATTATTTGGATGCATCTGGTGAATCACTTTTTATAACAAGAATTTGTGAATTGAAGAATAATCTAGCAAAAATAGACAAAATAAATGCTAATTTCAAAGGCGTTTCACTTTACAGAGAGATATTAATTTTTCGTGATCTTTGCACTGCTCTGTTCATAGAAATCTCAACAATAATTTTTTTTAGGAAACTTTGTGCGTTTTGGCTAAGACTTTGAACAAAAAAATTCACATATATGATTAATCGATTTTTTAAATCGATCGACATAATATGTTTAATTTTTACGTGTGACAAATCGTGTGACTGATAGGCAAATCTTGTAACAGGATAATGTTGGCGAAACGATATACGAATAAATCACATGATCGTCGTTATAGTAAAAAGACAAAGAACTTGAAACAAATCCTTAAATTGTAGATCATCAACAATCAATAGTTTCGGATAACAACACGAAAAAACTACCGATTGAGTTCTCAAAAAAGCAAGAGTTTATTATGTATTAATGTGATACACAGTAAACACGATAGCTTTCCTTGCTTGTGGGGAGACAATAAATTAATCAGCCAACAAATGCACGCACTTTTTAAGTACATGTATTCTCACCATTTCTCTAAATTCTATGAAAATTTAAATTGAGGGTGCAGAAAATATACAAATTAGACAATAACAAAATATTTAATAAGCTTCATATTTATCTTTTTTTTTATTGATGTTAGTTTATTAATAGTGTAAAATAGCATATCAAACAACAATATCATCCATTATCAATTATATATATTAATATGGCGCCATTTTTACCTTCAGATTGCTACAACAAAATATTTGAAAATCTTGAACAAGACCGCAATACTCTACATTCTTGTATACTAGTAAATCGACAGTGGTGTCAAAGTGCAATACCTGTGCTCTGGAGTCAACCGTTTCGACTATTATGCATATGTCGAGATCCGGCCGAATATTCACCAGAGTCATGGCGGAAAAGAGCTGGGCTTTTAATGGAAACCTATTTTCTATCGCTAAATGACGAAGAGAAACGAGCACTTAGACGAAAGCGTGTGTATTTATCGAAGGAAATTACAGCATCGCCGGAAGCAAAACCATGTCCCATATTTAATTATCCGCACTTTCTGAGGCAGGTGGATTTTGGGGAAGCATTTGCGGCGTTATCGGGATGGTTAGAGTACACGCAAGCAAATAAGATGGCAGAGGCGCAAGCTCACGCTTCATCTTCATTCAAGAGGATGAATCGCATCGCGGTTGTGAATTTTTTGGTGTGTCGATATCGTGAATTTCGAGTTTGGCGAGAACGTAAAATGCATGCAGAATTAACGGCGGCTAAAGTTCTTGCGAAAGTTTTGATGAGACGTTGCTTGACTATAAAAGAATTCTCTATTAATACAATTCATCATTCACCGGTTCCTGACGCATTATTGTTGATGCCAATATACCCGGGAGCAGATGAGTGTTTATCGAATTTAGTGGAATTAAGATGCACCACAAAATCAGTAAAATCAAAGTTCTTTCAAGAAATATCGAAGGTAGCACGTAATCTGCGAAACATCACCGTGTGGATGTCTTATCCGCGAGTGGATCCTGAATTTCCAACGCTCGATCGTCGAAAAAAATCCAAGAATGAACAAACAATTATCAATGAAGTTGAAGCACTCGTACGTGTGATTGAAGCGCAAAAAAATCTTCGATCGTTCGAACTGGGATATTGTCCTTGGGGCCTTGATCTAATAATTAACTCGTTGAAGTCACAGTCACATTCGTTGCGGCGACTAAGTTTTACTGGAGTGAATTTTTTATATGCTAGTCCGTTAGCTGGTTTGGCGACTTGCACAAACTTGGAGAAATTGAAATTCAATTCTTGTTTGAATTTGACTGATACTATTATGCAACCGTTGGCAAATGTAAAATTTCCATTTTTGAGAAAGATTAATATGAATTCACCAGCCCCGGCAAATATTTTAACTGCAATTATACGAAATTCTAATACAAGTATTAAAAAATTGACGTTAGGTGAAATAACGCAAAACGAAGGTGAAGCACCAAACGTAATAGAAACTATTGCACAGCATTGTTCGAATATTGTAAAATGTAGTGTTCGACCAACGAAAAACGAAATGCCTCAATTCGTATCGCTCGTTCATCTATGTAAAAATCTTGAGACATTAATTATAACCGGCACAAGATGGCCTGATATAGATGTAAATTCTGTTTTACGAGATATGTCAAAGCATGAGCTGCCAAGATTACGACATCTCGGGATCCAAGCAGCATTAACATTCACCCCCAAATCACTGGAGAGTTTTCTCAAAGGTATAAGCGCACCCATTGTCACTTTGGAGTTCTATCAATCACAATGTTTTTGTGATCTTCATCTTGATGTGGTCTTACGCTGTCTTGAGTCTACATTGAGAAATCTTCGAGTGCAGACGTATCGAACTCTTCCGTATCGATCAATTGACAAAGCTCGACAGCGAATAGCTTCCGTTCATGTTTATCCGATGTGAAATGTGAAAGTTTTTATGAGTTATGTGAATACTTGCGAAGAAATTATTTTTGAGTAAAGGGGCGTCGCTTGCATTTTTTCATTATTAAGTTTTGTATATTTATATTTTGCTTCATTACGCGCTGTATATTAATGTTTAATAATAACGATGCTTTAGACAGAGCACTTTATATTTATGTAAAAAAAAATAAGGACTTTCACAGTATATTCTTTTAATCCAACTCAAACTTGAACTTATCTAATAAAAAGCACGCCTTTTATCGTTATAATTTCAAGCTAAAAATTTTTTTGGTTGTCGAAAGATGAGGTTCTGTTTATATACATGTATCAATTCTTGAAGTCATCAGAAAAGATTGAATTTATAATGGAGTTGAGATTAGGAATGGGCTTACAAGCTGTGCATCTCGCTTTAGCATAATTCTCTACGTAAAGTGAAAAAAAGGCGATAATCTGATAATAAAATGCATCGCACGACACGCATTTATCACATACAATGTAGCTAGAGTAAAACACAAAAAATAAAACTTTTTGATTTTCTATTAAAGGAGCAGGTTGACTGAATACCTAATCAATCAAAATGTATCAAAGAGACGTTATTTAAAATTATTGCTAATAGCTGTTGATGTTGGAGAATACATGTACATAAAGCAAAAGGTCTGGATTAAGATAATTGTATACGGCTCGATTTAATAACGACCATTCGTTGTTAAACATGCTAATGGCTATTGCTAAATTGAGTAATTTAATTATGGGTGATCCGAGTGAAGGATCGCTAACGAGTTGTTAAATCGAGCCCTGACTTTATTGAGTTAATTGAATTACAGTGACTCACTAAAGAAACGGAACGCGGAAAAAAAATGGCGAGATTCGAATATCTCGCCATTGAAGAATCATCG